TTTCGAATACTTCAATCTTTCGCGATGATTTTCGAGGGAAGCCCTGTGAATGGGGGTACAGCTATTACCGTTGAGGATCCACGAATTGTGATCAAGACCATTGATAGACTGGAGTGGTAGTGTGGTTTGTAAGTTTGTTACGGTTCAAGAGATAACCGGCAATCGCTGAGCGCTGAGTCCTGACCGAGGATCGAGAACGGATCCGAGTTTTGCTTGGTGAGGGTCGCCGCTCAAGAATCTGGGAACGCTCTAGGTCAACGCGAGGCGCTTTTGTAACGTACGTACTGATAAGATATAATGCCAAGAATTACGTCTGGGCATTGTGTATGTAAAGAACCTCGTCAGCGTCCGGCGGCTAGCATGAAAGCAGTGTCTTGTAGAATGGTATGTACGATAGATTTCAATTTGTCCTGTATCGGATTTCAAGTTATCATGTATTGTGAGGCCCTCGACACGTAGAACCCATCCCGACGAAGACGGGAACCCACATGCTGGTCTTCACGGTCACTGTCAATCAGACGTTATATACCCGGACCACCCGCCAGATAAAACCTGTCCGACATCCTTACCTCCCCGCTGGCTACCGTTCTTCTCACCCACCCCATACCTACCATCGTTCCTCGTGCTTTGCCCTCTTCATCTTAAAAAAACCTTCCCCCGGCGCTCTATATCCACTTTCGCCGAAACATTCTCCGACGACGAACAAGTGGGGAAGTACTGTTTTTAGATCCCAGAGCGGCCTGTATAAGCCTGTAACCTGGTACTAGGTTCATAACCAAAAAAACCGGTATGAGGGCCCAGGACTGTCTGTGAGCTCTCTCCCGTGAGCGAGTTAGCCAGAGATGGCACGCCGTTCAAAGTTCAAGAATAGGAGGTCGGTTTGCCCATCAAGAACGATCACTTACATTTACCTTTCCCGTTTTTTCCCTGATGTACTTCGACGATCAGGGCCACGAGCACGAGCCAACTCTTGATATATGATAGGCTCCTGACTATAATAGATACTTGACGCCGGACGGTGGCTATACCTTTCCTTTCCATCATCTCCGAGGGAATTTGGAAAAGACACGCGAGGAGTCTGTTGGGACTTTCAAGCACACGAGCTTGATGTACGTCCTACATTGATATCTAGCAGTGAGCCCTCGGGTTATTTAGGTAAAAAATTCAAGTTGGGGACTCACCGACGCGCCATAATGCATGATCTGTGGCGCTCTTTTCTGTATGTTCGTACTTCTCTCACAATCTCATACCTAGGCGACAGCGGCCGCCGGGAGAGCACGCACTCCCCTTTCGATCTCACCTTCTTCAATTGAAAGTCGCTCTCAGGCCTCGTATCTCGAATCATTGATAGGCTCGAGGTTCACCTGGTCCGGTCGATTACAACTCGAAGAACTCGACGTGACCAGAAAAAACACCACCAGTCAGTATAGTCAAGGGTGGTTTGGTTTCTTCGCACTTTACGACTCGTACAATCCCCCTTCCCCTCCCCTACCTTCTTGAAATGAGACCTGAAGAACGTTTGAGGCAAGAGAATAAGGGCCGCTGTTATGAGAAGTCGGGCCAGGCGATGCTTTCATACCTATTTAGGCTTTAGCGAGTTCTTACCACTGTCCAGTGTCCGGGTGTGAGAGAAACAACCAAGAAAAACAAGTACAAGTCAATTTACACCTGAACAAACACGAGCTGGGGTCGGTGCCTAAGATTAGAACGTAGCGTCCCGATCAGAAGGATTGACTTGCGGTGTTTTTTGTTTCTTCGGAGTGTTATAGCCACCGTCAAGAATCTCGAATAGATGGGTTCGGTACCGTAAAGGTCAAGACAGGGTTGCTTCTGAAGGAACCCGAGGGCGAGAACGGATCCGAGTTTGTTTTGTTGAAGTCTGGATAAGCGCGAGGCGTCATGAGCGCTGAGGAGGTCGAAAATGCTGTGTCAACGTCCAGACAGGGTATGATGATAAAGCAGTCTATTGTGGTTGTAGAATAACGATATGATGGATGATTGGATGTATGTATGTAAAGAAACGGGGAGTGGTCAAGGATAATCAACCATCCGACCTCCGCGACACCCCCGGTCCACCCGCCAAATACGCCTGTCTAGCATCCTCATCGTATCCACCCGCATATACGACCACCCCTTCGTCACTCCCACTCCCACTACCACTCTTCTTCTCCCCCTGCTCCTCGTGCTCTCCCTCGTCGAGATCAGGATTCACAACAGACAACCTCTTCCTCTCTGCTCCATCCCCACTTTCGCCCGACCCATTCTCCTCCTCCTCCTCCTCCTCCGAAGCACCCGAACCCCTCATCCCCACAGGCGGCCCAGTATACGCATGTAACGGCGGCGAACGAGGCGGTGAGACCGGGTAGGAAGCAGACGTAGGGGACGGTAGATCTCGGGTATAATGTAACTGCGGTTGAGGCTGATAAACCTGCTGCTGCTGTTGTTGTGGTAACGGCGGTGGCGGCTGAGAAGAATACATCATATCAAGACTCGAAACGAAACTCGGAGCACCACCCGTATTCGTCGCCGTAAGCGGAACCAACGAGGGGCCGGGTGAGGGGTGACTGAAGTCGTTCTGGTACGGGTAATACTGTTGGTGTTGGTGTTGGTGGTGGGACATATGGGATGAATGTGTATGACCTTCGCTTATGGGAGACGAGGGAGGGTTGTAGATGGAATAACGCCCGTTCGGAGACTGTGGTGGACTGCTAGGAAGGACGGTATCGGTGTAATGAGGGACAGCGGTGTCTTCAACAGGTATACTGGGGAGAGTCGGGAGGTCTCGGTCGTGGCTTTTATGGTTTCGGCCTGTAGTGTAAAGGGAATGTTGTTTAGACATTAGACAATCCAAACAGTGACTTCTAAGCGCAACGCACCACCGAAGGGTTTGACTTGAGACATGGAGCGCTCCACTCTATCCGGTGCAAAGTCGCCGTCAAATTCAGAGAATGTTCGTTTCCGTTTCCAACGTCGGTAGAGGAGTAGACATAGTACGAGTAGAGCTGCCAGACCGACAACACCTGGAATTGGAACTGAGCATCAGCATGGAGTATGGAATGGAAGGAACGGGAAGCAGGAGCGGGAAGGGAAGGGGATGGGGTATGAAAGCCAAAAAACGCACCTCCGACAACTCCCCCAACAATAGCTCCAGTTCTGCCGGAAGTGCTATTGATTGCTGAACTCGGCGCTCCCGTAACGACGGCGCTTGAATCTAACGTTGCTTCCGTCTCGTAAACTGTGGAGACCGCATTCCCATTTGACAGGGTTCTGAACGTAGACGCGTCAGTGCAATGGAATCGAATTGGGGAACTGATCAAAGACGCACACAACGGTAGTTTGGACGATGGTTGTGACGACAGAGCTGGGAGAATTCGGAGGTGGTGATGATGGTGCTGCGGTTGAAGGTTCTCCTTGTGTGGTCGTGCTGCTAGGGGGAGGAGGAGGCGGAGGAGGTGGTGGTGAGGTGCTGCTCGATGAGGAGGAACTCGGCGAAGATACAGAAGAAGAGGAGGAAGGCGATGACGAAGATGACGAGGGTATCGATGTAGATGCTGATGTAGATTCTGAGGATACAGAGGTTAAAGAGTGTGATGCTGTGCTGGTATTCGATGGTTCGGACGTCGAGCCTGCACAAAGAAAAGTTCACCTTATCTCTTCACGAATCACCACCCAGTTTGAAATAAAGCCAAAACATACCCGAACTCGAACTGCTGGGCGTGGATCCATTACTGGTTCTCGACGTGGCGGTACTCTCGGAGGTCGACATTGCGGAAATCTAACGAGGGAAAAAGCCCATCTGAGGACGCAGTTGCAGAGTGAGATAAGGGTAAAGGGTGAAAAGGTAACGAAGAAAATTTAGGTGATCATCATAATGACATGTCGAGGAAACGAGAAACTTTTTGCAAATTACCTGAGCCGGTCTCGGCTGTTTGGATGGATCAGGGATCAGAATAATCGTGGAGTACTTCCGTAAGTCCAAAGTCTTACCTCGAGTTTCCCCGTTCTAGCCCAAGATGACTACCCAGCTAGAACGCTTCTAGGAGATTAGGACTACACTATAGTCGGTCAGGGACTCAGAACAGAGGCGAAAGAGTCCTCTTTTGGGAGGCGGAGGCGGATGAACGGGGCAACATGAGATTATCCGGTGTCTCGGAATCATTCTGAGTGATGTCATACACGATACATAAGACCGTTTCGTTAGCAACGGTCCGAATATTCCCCGAGGCTTGGAAGACCAGGGCAGACCAAAACGAGTCTGTGTCAGCTACGACTCAACTGTGAGCGAGCTGACGCGTTTCGCGACTTGTAGCACGCACGCGTTATTTGCATGATCGCGACATTGAACGGCAAGTATCAGTGATCGATCCGGGATCTAAAATATCCGCCCAGGTACCTCAAGGCTCAGACCTATATTTTTGCTTCCGCGCATATGTTTCGCACGCAAGACTTCCGACTTCCGAGCCACACACACCTCCGTTTCGGATTGTAGTTGTCTTAGCGCCAGGCGGAAGTTTAGGCCTCAGGCTGGACCCTCCTTCCTGGCCATAAAAATATCGTAAAGATAGCTCAGTTTCTGCTATCACCATTCTGGAGTCTGGAGTCTGGACGGACTTCTCGTACGGCTACCTGTACATGCCACCCTGGTTGATGTCTCTCTTATCATCTGTCATTGCACTCCGTGTCCCTCCGTATCGTCTTGGCAATTCGTTCATGGCCAGTACCTTGACACATGATCCTTTTTTAGTCTCTCTTAGGCCGTCGGGAGGGGCAACAACGACGAGTACAAGTAAGTAGAGGAAAGACTAGACTAGACTGTGAATACACAATCTGGACCTATGAACACGGACCACCGGTGCGGGGATAAGAATTCTGGTGTGCAAGGCGCGAGTAGAGTGTAGTGTAGTGTCAGTGCGAGAATCCAGTACAAGATTCTTCCGGTGCAGTCTTGCATGCATGTCTACTGGTCAAAAAAAAAAAACTCAATGGACTCTACTCGCTATTGGACACACTGGGAATTGAACCCAGCACCCCCCGCAAATGCACCAATACTACTAGATATCCGATGCTAAGCGGATGTGATAACCAACTACACCATGTGCCCTTGGAATGAGCCGCATGTATCAAGCTGACGAGGGCAAACCATGAATCAACTACAGCCTACGCAAAGTCCGAACATCCATCCTCGCACCTAGCATTTGTTGTCATTCCGTATGGTGTGTGCGGGCTTTGTTATCCCAGTGCGCAGGGACCAAGGTCGGACCGTCTCAATCTATCGAACGCTCAGCCTCCGAGTCTGTGATAGATCATCGACCACAATAGGAAAAAAGAGCCTCTAGTACGCGAACATTATATGGACTAGTAGAGGGCCACCGGTCGCTCGGTGGTACAAACGGTCGAGAAATGTTCCACCGCCGGTACGGAGTCCAAGTTTCTCGGGAAACCCTTCTTTGCGTTGCGAGTTGTAGGATGACTATGAGCTGGAGGAGGCAAGAATTAGATAACTACGGTTTTTCTCGGTCCACGAAGTAGTCTAGATGTCCATAGTACAGGTCCTAGTAATCCTAGGCGGAATATCGAATTCTCTCAGTTAGCAGATGTCTCCTCGCTTGCTCGGTCTCCATGCGGGCAGCGGCAAATGCGACTCTCAGAACTTGCATAGTCAGAGCCTCACAAGAAACCTCAATATACGGAGCCACTAGATCCCCTTCTAAAAAAGTATAAACATTCACTTCCACACCGTCCGGCGTCCATGAAAAACATGACCATAAATGGTCATTGGACACACTGGGAATTGAACCCAGCACCCCCCGCAATTGCACAGCATATTCAAATGACATGATGCTAAGCGGATGTGATAACCAACTACACCATGTGCCCATGTACAAGCTGAGCCGCAAGGGGCGTACTTATCTTGAGTTGAGGGGATTGTAGGCTGGAATTAGAACCGACGGTAGAGGAGATGCTTGAGTTCCTATATTTAAGTAGTCACTATGCTCTAGTGTATCTCACTCTCAGATTGGTCAGTCTGAGTGTGCTGCCAGCTAGAATAATGGGGATCATCTGGAAACTCAAAAGGTCAACGAGGGGTATGATTATAAGAGACGCGCCGCGCCGCACCCCACACTAGGTCCAACTTGGGATACCCATGCTCTTTCCCGTCGGCCACATAATCCAGCACAATCGAATATTCCTACGCATCTCAGAATGTACCAATCCACTCGTGAATCTCCAACTTCGAGATCCCATATCTCTTCCAGTCCTCTTGATCGAGTATAGCATTCTCCCCGTTCGGGTTCAAGGACCAGTAGAATAGACGGTAGGGCAGTTGGTAACAGATAGAGTACGCCTGATTCGTGACAGTCACAGGAATGGGGGGGAGGGGGGGGGGGACGAAGAGATGAAGCGGAGTTTGAGGTAAGATTTTAGAGACGCCACATGTATGATGTGCTGACGAGAGAGAACTGGATCTCGTCGATGAACGCTTCAGACCGGATTGGGCAGCATAGAGCCAATCAAAAGAAGTGGATCTTCTTCGACTTAGAAAGACTCACCAAGGTCGTGTTAAGGGTCCTTACGATCGTCGGTAAACGCCTCCATTGGCTGAGGTACCCAGCTCGACGTCGAATTCCATCCGGAGAGCGTAACGAGAAATGAAGATGTGCTTGATTTCGCCCAATATTCCGGAGCGACAAAATCGACACGCCACGGCACTAGATAGTGAAATAGTCGTCAGAACAAATTGGGAGACTCGGTCAACGTAAGGGTAATCGCATACCACAAACGGAATACCTCGCTTCAACATCCACACTCAAACCCTCACAATACAATTTAGGTCGTTCATCGCGAGTGGAAGGCAGATGCGCAATAATCCCAGGTTTCCTACGATTCACAACCGCTCCGAAAGTAAGGCATCCGTGTCTTACAAAATCGTCGACCAGTTTCCCGCCAAGTCCAACCTGCCTCGTCTGTCCCAAAGCCGCAACCATATACAGATAGTCACCGAATTCGTGTTCAAAGTACGCGACGACTTCGTTAGCGTTGAGTCGGGGCATTTTCGTGTTTTGGTAGAGTGGATCCTTCGGCTTGTAGACGATTCGATCGAGAGAGGTGTCGTCGCATAGTGGGGAGATCGAGACCGAGAGAAGGTCATACTTCCAAGACCCAGTGTTGAGACTGAAAGACCAATGGCTCATCTCGCCGGAGATCTATTCGGAACCCCGCTGTTAGTGGGGACTCGTGAGTGGAGCATGAGGCTGAACCACTTACCGCAATCGTCGTGGTGTTGTCCGTATACAAAGCGAAGAATGAGGTCATCTGGATAATATCAGCCGCGACAGAATGCCACTACAGTAATAGCTGGAGCGTACCTGCGTATACCAAAGGTAGTACCACACCAGGAGGCCCTTCTGCCAGTATGGATCACTAAAGTCTTTCCCATTCACGAGCTCTGCGGTATGATCAACTAGATAGAGCTTATCGGGCCAGGAAATGAAACCTACCATCGTGTACTGTCAGTACCAGTCGTTCGGACCAACCCAGTCCGACCAGTCGAGTCAATAGGCGCGACCTATCACGCGCACGGTCCACCGAATTAGCAACGCAGGGGATGTCTAATGGCAAACATTCACTTTACCGCTTCCACGACATTTCCCTACACACACGGTCTGCTATCTGCGAAACAACGCGTCAGGTCGTCCGAGAATGTGTTGAGGGTACACCACACAATTTCGAAATCGTCGACTTGATCCTCCGATCCCGCTGGCTCGACAGTTACACTCGTGAAACCCCCTGGAAGTCCAAGCACCGCAACATGGTCTATCACTTTCCCGACTTTCAGCAGTTTAGACTCGAGCTTTGATGCGTGTTCTTGACGCTTCGATTCGACGTTCAAATGAATGTGTAAAACCTCCGAAGACAAACTCCTCCGAACGATAATATCACACATCGGGATTCTTCTGAACATATTTCCTGACTAAAATACTGGCGCAAACACCAGAGTGAATATACCATCTCGCGATTTGCTCGGTAAACTCCCGTAGTACGTACCAAGTTCACAAAGTCCCTTTGCTCGTAGACGTTTGTAGTCACATCGCCGCCTACGTTTTGGATAGTAGCGTAGTCGCCTATTCGGAAATGTTTGGCGTTGGTGAAGAGATTGCTTATCGTGGCCATTGGCAAGGGGGGAGAGGCTAGAATATTGGGACCAGGAAAATAGTAAGAGCTCACTATGTAGTGACCGTGCATACTCAACATAGGTCATTCTATCGATCATCATAATCCCTTTGGCCACAATCAATCCATCGAGCGGGATACTATGGGAGGCTCGTTGTCCCCATCACCGTGAACGTCGGACCTATAGGTGACCGCAGCTCATACACTGCTGTGTGTATCGCTCTTTCTGTGTCTGGGAGGAGGGAGTTTTCGACAAAGGATACCCATATCTCCCGTCCGAATCCTCTGAACCAAATGGCAGACACTCCCCTAATCACCCAAACATATCTCAAGGACGAGGATGTCGAGTTATAGTCCTCTTTTTTTTAACGTGGGTAGTAACCTGCCGCCAGCGGAAGTGGGGCAAATAGATATACTATTGGACATACTGGGGTTTGAACCCAGCACCCCCTCATGCTAAGTGAATATAATAACCAACTACACCCGACTACACCATGCTAAACTTCCGTCCTGCATGTCATGACTCATCGGACAATGAAGTGGCAAAGCACAGTCCAGGTAAGTGCCTGTAGTCGTTCTTGGCATGGTACCATATCCTTCTGACAGCATTGAGTGGAAATGTCCCCAACTCCGTATCTTCGGCAGCTTAGCACCCATTCTAGCGACGCATAGGCGAATTGGATCTGGACAGGCCTTACAATCAGTCTAGTTCATAATTGGTAAAGGGTAAAGGCTTTGTGCAAAGAGGGACAAAAGGGGTGAGGTCCCCATTTTCCAAGTCGGACCTACTGCCTCCGGGGAAACATTGGATGATTATTTTTATGTCCTGAAGAGAATGATGGCCCCAGGAAGACGGCCTCTACTCAGTGCTCATAGGCGTAGCGCTAGACGATGTAATCCTGTGTTGAAATGCACCCTCTTCGCCCGAACATGCGCACCCTACCAAAAGGAGATGAACCTCCTGTTCTTTAACAATCTATTTGCGGGTACTTTGCTGCGTATCAAATGTGCTGATGGCTGATAAATCCTTCAGAGTATTTGTTGCCCCCTTAGTACTTACAGCTGCTGTTACAATCGTACTAGGCCACTCTTAAATTGACTCCTGACCAATCTGTTCCACCCCACGGTGATATCACACCGTACCTATTGACGACTACAACTCTAAGTGGCCTCCAGTTCACCGCCTTTTGTTTGTAAGCGTTTGAAAGAATGGAGAATATTGTGGGGTGGGAAAGAAAAATAGTCAGCCACGAAATTCTGAGGGAGGCCTACGGTTGTGCCCACGGCTTTAAAATCGCGAGTTTAATTGACCTGCTATTGGATATCTCCGAATCTGTTTGCCCGGAGTTCAGTGTCCCGGTTCCGTCTACTCTAATCAACGCGCTCGGACAAGTTACCAGAACAACGAGAGTGCTGCTTTGCGTCTGTCATTCCTTACGGTGTATCAATATCTGTTAGTCATGGCAGGATTCGACGTCTTTGTAAGTATTGATGGACATGACTCAGACCAAGACAACACGGTGACCATAGTGCCAACAGATACCTCGGAGCGAGACATAAATGAATGATGTGCGAGAATCATAAGTGTGTCTTCCCTTCCCCCTCACCATTTAAGCCAACACCGATATTGAGCTCCCCTCGATCCGGGTGGATGACAATGAACCATATCCTGACTCAAGCCAGAAATGTTCGAATCGGCGCCAACGCTACCATACAAACCGTGACTGGCGACGCAACGACAAATATATACCATAATCACAGAGAGGACTTGGTCAATTTGGTACGTGATTTGCACAATTGTTCCATTTCCGTCTTAATTGTCGAGCCCAGTGTGGTAGTATGTTTAGGAGGATCCTCACGGGTGACATTATAGTGCGGAGGAATGTTTCCTCGGAGGTTCTGGAGGTCCCCATTGAACCTCAACAGCGAGAGCCCGTAACTGGGACATCACAGCCGCAGTCCACAGTTACGAAAGTCAAAAAGGTTGTACAACATGCTGGGATCATTGGAATCCCGGGAAGATTCACGAGAATTACACTTGAACCTATGGGAGAAGGTGAAGAGGACTTCAAGGTGGTAAGTTCGCGTTCAGGGAAGTTCGGGTCTGAATTTGAACGAGTTGAGACAGATAATGGAGCGTATATGCAGGGAAATGGCATCCCAACGGTATGCAAAATACTCGTGCACAGACTGAGTCTCTGTTAACCTAGTATCAGGTCGCCTAATATCACTCAATTGTTCGGATTGGGATGGTCAGAACACTTGTCGTTAATCGTGCACGATGGTCGGTCCCCTTATCCGATGTACTAATGTGATGATGGACACTGACAATCATGACGTAGAACTCGTCGACGGAAAAAAACTCATGAATCAATTTGTAGCTGAGAGGAATTGGGCCGTCTGGTTCTACCTTTGGTATACACAGGTATATTTGTCCTTTTGAGATCCTACATCTGCTAAGGATGTCGCTAGCGAACCTCACGCTTTGCTCTGTCTGCCGACAAGACATTGACAGTCCCTGTGGGTGCATTGCTTTATGTCTCGCGACGTCTAATAATATTTAGCACCATAGGTTTCAGCCGAGTGGGGCTTTTGGACGTTCAACCTAAGAACCCACACTTGGCAATACGACATCTCTTCCGTCTCCCTTCTACCCCCCAGCCCTAATATCTCTTTCGGCTCGCTTACGTATCCGCCAAAGCCTC